TCTAGTTTATATCTAGGATTCAAAATGTAACATTGTAATATTGTAAAAAAGATTTTCACTATCATACTAAAATTAATGCTAATATATATACTATAATAAAAACGTAACTGATCGATGTCTGTACATTGAAGATATATGAAAAAGCTTATGAGGGGCATTTATAAACGTAATCGAACACAATACAATGGTTTTTATTTTTTTTTGTTTGTCCGTTTGTCTGTGCGTTTGTGCACGTTAATTTCAGAAACGGCTGAACCGATTTTAATAATTCTTTCACCTACGGGAAGCTATGACATACTCAGGTGACACAGGTTATAATTTACGTGGCTAGTTAACACTTAACCTCGTGTGTTTGTAAGTTTTGAGATGAAATAAAAGTGGCGTAACTTTTTTAATACTTAAGTTATATTTCTAAAATTTTCAGTAACCATTAAATAGATGACAATCACTACATAGTATAAAACCAAGTCGCTTTCTCTGTCCCTATATCAGCTATATATGCTTAAATCTTTAAAACTACGCAACGGATTTTGATGCGTTTTCTTTAAAACTACGCTACGGATTTTGATGTAGTTTAGGTGTGTAGTTCTCGAAAGTGTCACATGTTTAACCGTTTGTAAATACTTGTCTTTTATGTATCGATCATTATACCTATGGACATATTTACGAAGCCCATTTGATTCCTTTAGTTGGCCGTTCGTTGGTCCACTCTGTATGCCACATAGATTTATGGTATGTATAATTGGGCCTCTTGTCCTGGGGGGCCTCTTAACGCAAACATTTGAAGTTCCCTTGGTCAAATTAATGGGGGCTGTACTGCCTATCTTTTGTAGTTTTAGCTGATGCCGCCCCGGGCCCCGACGAGGTTAGTCCGCCACTGGTTGATTAATTCTTTTTTACATAATAAACACATTAACATTAATATTTCGAGGAAATTTACTGTATTTATCAAATACTAGACTTTTTCTTACTTTAAATGCAAAATAATAAGTGTTATAAATTTGGAGTCTGTGGGCTTTTCTATAAATATATTAGCATTTTGACAGATCATCAAAAGAGCCAGTCAGTGACAAAAGTAAGGTATTTTGAAATGCAGTAATTCTTAAATTTCAAATTTAATGTAATTTGAGTGCCTCATTATCTGATGCAAAATAAAGTTTAGGGGGTCGAAAATGATCCGAATGGTTTCGAGAAAAGGATGGTACGGCCGTGTCCTTTTAATTTTTTTGCTCGTCTTGGCGACATACAAAACCAAATGACCGATAAAGCCGTTTCTGACCCGTGGAACACCAAAGTGGTTCACCTAGGTGTTCCACGGCGAACTTTTTGTACCCCTGGTTCACCTAGGTATTCTGCTATTCAAAATAATGTACCCGTAGTTCACCCAATACAAGTCATCCTAAATAATTCAAAAACTAAATGTTAAAATTGTCAAAATTAAAGATCTTCAGGGCAAAACAAAAATAAATCTGTTTTAGGTAATGTAACAATTTAATAAGAGACAGAAAACAGACTTTTCTCCAGGGGTGAGTATTTTAGGTTATCAATTCTAGTATATATGTAAGTTCGTTGGAATAGCGTAATATTCATATATATTGATCTGTATGGGCTTTTAAACACTATGGAGATATTTTGTATTTATAATTAATTAAGAAAACGACATAGGTTTACCTAGAATCTTAAAGTTAATGGAATATTCTGAAAAAAAAAGCATTGTAGCCTATAAAAAATATTATATAAAAAGAGGCAGATATGTCATAAGCGCACGCATAGTGAAGACTCGAATACGTGCTAATAGGGATGACGACTTATTTTTGTTTGTTTGTCCGTCAGGTAGAGTGTTAAAAAATATTAAACACATATTTTTTTATTGTTTTCGTAATCATAAAATTACGGCGTTACATGGAGTTGAAATTTCGCATGACGTCACCTTATGGTACGTTTTCTACTAAACTGTGACGTAGCGAGCCCTCACTCCTCAAATTTAATGCCTGTTATCTAAGCTATTTCTTGTTAAATTGAAGTAAAAAAAAAAACGTATCTAATATAATTTTATTATCTGACTGACGGACTAAATAGAATTGCATTTGTTTTACTCAGTTGTCATCCCTATTGGCACGTCTTGCAATCAATCCGAGTCGAGCGCCAGCGCGAGCGTGAGTTGCCTTAATTACCTTATTTCGTAACAATTTTATTCAAAAATGCCATCGTGTGTGTTTCGAAAGTATACTTATTACACCTCCAAAGTGAACAAAACACAAGTGATCTCATACCATATGTGAGTATGCAATGATGGTTCAGGTATTTAGTTTATTACAAAAATTTTCGAAATATTTTAATTAATGATGCTGCAGTTGCCAAATGTAGGTGAAGAAAGAGATAGTAAACTAGTTTTGTCGCGAGAGCGATAACAGAACAAAGATTAGTTACGTATATAAATAGTAACTTTAATACCTATCGATTTGATGGATAATTTATTTTACTGATTTATTAGGGAATATTTCATTCATAATTAAACAAATTCAACTGTATATTATAAAAATATTGTTTTAGTTGGATTTTTGACGATAAATATTTGAAACTGAATAATCATTTTAATATTTTAGTCTTAAATAGACGAAGGATTAATTTGATAAAACTCACAATTTATTGTTCAGAAATTGATTCTTACCTAATTATAAAAGAATAAAAAAAAAAGTAATTTGACACACCAGTAGCGCCACTTTAGTCCGATTCAAACACTTACAAGTAACTTTTTTATGGTCAATTTTCGCTTGGGGCAGGATTTGGCTGGCATGCCAGGGTCGAACCATTGCGATAAATCGACTTTTCATCACAGATAATGATTCGATTAAAAAACCTTTCATTATTGTGCCGGGTAAGTAATGTAACGCAGCAGTCGAAGTGCGTTTGCCGGTTTGCTTCACTCAATTCGTGAGGTAACCATCTTTCAAGCTTTTTAATCTTTCCAATTTGCTTCAAGTGGATTATAACAGTCTTATCACTAACACCGCAGCTTGTAGCTAACTCAGACGTGGTTTGCGATGGATCCGCTTCCACAATAGCCTTTAATTCCTCATTATTAACTTGGGTCTCCGACCATTCACGGGACTTGTTCTGCAGGTTGAAGTTTCGAGAACGAAAACGTTGGAACTAAAAACGCACTGTGTTTTCTTTTGCGACACAACCTTACACATCGTTACCCCTTGGAGCCGTTTCCGCATCACTGGTACCACGGTGAAACTCGTACTCGTAAACAACACAATATTTCAAGTTTTCCATTTTTTATACTGGGTGACGTAAATAGGACAAACGGAAGAAAAAAAAAAGCAAATGAATGCCGCCTAACGAAACACAAATACATGTGTAAATGCCTGTATAAATTTGAATTCGGAATTCCCAACTAAAGAGGACAAATTTGTGATTAAAGTGGCCAGTACGACAAAACGCCAATTTCATATGTAAGGACCTCCTAATATATCATTGATTGTAGCATTGGAAGTTTTAGGCCTTTGAAAATAGTAAAGTTTAAAAGAATTAATAAATTTTAACTTTTAAGTGCAATGTAGTTCTGTGTGTTTCTTACAGTTAATTAAGAAACTCAATTATTAGTGTGAAGCTGGGTTTGGTTACTAGTAATATTATAAAATGTAGCAAATACAAGCAAGCGTGTTATTAATGATTACCTTATTGTTTTACCAGCCTACATTATTATAAAGGAGATTACCTAGCAATATACTCTAATAGCAGATAATTAAAATGCAATTATATTAAAACGTTTATTTAATATATTTCACACATACTAAATCAGGAAATCGTTCAATTGGAGAGCTCATTTTTAATTATTACAAAATTTGAACACTTCTCTAGGACCATTCTTGGGTAAAACTAGAAATATATAATATTTTCTAAAAATATAGTGCCGAATTTGTATGACGATATCAGGCACTAAAATAAATTGTTTTAAAAGATCTTATATAAGAAGCTACTAACTTTAAACTTTTGTTACTAAATCTAAATATTGCTTAATTTGTATCTACAACTAATTTGGCATTATTAATTTATCTTTATGTTATAAGTACCTACACGCATTTAAAATTGAAAGTATATCTTGATTCGAAATTATTGATGTGGATATGTATTATTTTTTTAAATCACAATTTTCATGTCCTTTTAATGAGTACTTATTCATCAAAGCAGAAATAAAGAAACAACAATATTGTTTATGAGTCATTAACTTGGCACTAGCCCCAAAATCGAAGGATTTAATTATCTTCTTATTTAAGGAACACTCAGGCAATTTCTATTTAAAATATCTTACAATTTTGGCATTAATGTACGTAATAGACCTTCGAAAACACTATTATGTGTTTATCACCCAGATATTAACCAAGTTAGAGACTGAAATACATTTTCATGACTGATTAGTCATGGGAACTTCATTATTCAGACTTCATAATACAGTATTACCATTAGTTACTCGATTTGAGATCTTAGCAAGTTATATGATGTTGCCTAATAATTATAAAAAAACAAATACCTAATTGTCTCATGAATATTTACCTAATATGAATAAGTTAAAATAGGCACTTGACAGTTTGAAACATTCACAGAAAAACGACGAAGCGTCAATTCAAAATCGAAATAAAAACAAGAATTGGAATTATTTTTACAAAGAATCGTTCTACTTTTTGGTGTCTAAATTCCTTTTAGTTTTGAAAATCTATATTAACATAAAAATTGCTATGCTATGGTAATATGCGCATTGGATCATAATGAATGCTTTCTTGCATAATCGCATAAATGAGTTTATACACCTATACCTCGCGGTTATTTATATTGTATTTATACATACATTTAAATATAATCTTTAAGAAGTACTTTGAGCAGATTGAGGCTATTATTAAAATTTTATTGTTATTACAACATAAGTAATACTCTTAAAATAAATCAAAGGTTCAATTCACTCTGTTTTACACATTCAGTATCTAATTAAGTTATTAGTTTTCAGTAGAAGGTCCGGGTCGAGCGTCCTCTGTTGATTTCCATTTATTTTCCAAAACTGATTTGTCTGTCAGTCTCTGACCGACGTGCTGATGGCTGAATCTCCTCGTCTCATCGAATATCTTGTCAGATATGTTGAAAACGCTATCTGCACTAGTCTTTCTTCTGGTGTCCAAAGTCGACAGACTGGATGCTGACGGTGATATCCTATGCGGAAATCTTGGCGATCCTCGGATTCTCTCGCACGAGTTTTGATGAGACATCGGTCTATTATGTGTAGCTGGCAACACGAAGTTCACTTTTGTCTCTGGCTCCGCAACATATTTATTGATCCCGGATGACGAGCTCCTCTCCGATTGGTAATTCGAACACGACGGCTCGTCGTCCGTTATCCTTATAATTGGTCCACTCCTAGTGTAAGATTCCCTTCTCAGTTTCATTTCAGGATTCGGAACATTGAGCGTGTTACAAGAGAGTACCATGGAACGTTTCCTGTTACCGGGCACGAGACCAGCTATCATTCCTACGTGCATTTTCAGAGCCGCCGCGATGCTTTGCCCCGTGGGATCCGCTATGGACATCGTCGATGCTTTTCTGCTAGACGGTCTACTGCCGAAGAAACTTTTTAGTCTACTCAGAAGACCGGTGTTCTCTTCTCTTTTGTTGAGGCAGAGATTGTATAAGTCTATGGCAGGGGTGGATTTTCTATGGAACAGTTTGGGTTGGGAGCTAAAGCTGACTGAGTTTCGTCCGCGGCAGGCTTCAGCGGAAGGCCAGCTCGCTCGCGGGATGACTGGAGGTAGTACAGAAAGCAGCAGCAACGGAAGGCCGCCAGTGATACTGGGCGTGCGTCTATCTGACTCTGAACGACACCTGCCTTCCTCTTCAACAGTATTTAGCTCCATCTGAAAGAATCGTAGAAAAAACAATTTTAAAAAAAAATGACTTCAAATAATATATTATTTAAATAATATTTATTTTAAAAGCGGTAAATTTTTTAAAGAAACATTGAACACGGGCTGAGGTTTTCTATAGTTTATTAAATATTAGGGGTTAATATTAGTCTTATTGTAATAGGGTCCTTGAATTCATGGTTCGAGGTTTTCGAAAGAAACTTTTTTCACATGGTTATTGTATTGATATCCAATAGTCATTGATATAAAATCTGACGAGCAACGACTGTCAGTATTATAAGACTGAGGAACCAATTAAGTATCTTTACATTCCAACTATTAGATATACGGCCTATCACTAACAATGATAATTAAATTCAAAAGAATTACATATGACACATAAAAAGAAGACTTTCAATAATCAACATCTGATTGTTCTACAACTAAGTACAGATAAATTATGACAAGACATAAAAGACGAATAAAGGTAACCAATTGATTAAAGTGGGAAGTAATGCAAGAAAGAATATTACGTACCTATGTAGACTTTTTATGTTATATAGGTATGTTTGGGTTGCGCAAATATACATATATGTAGGACGAATACAAAACGTGACTAAAAATACTTAACGATTGTTCTTTGTCCAATCAAGTACTCACTCTTTTATGTAAGGCGACAGATGTATTATAATTGTTGGCAGGTTCCAATGGTTCCGCCAGTAGTTTCTCTAACCTGCAGATCTCTTTGTCTAGGGCCGCTACTTCCCGTTTGTATACTTTGTTCTGTATCTCTATCCTGAAATGCAGCTCTTGTGTTTCGTCTGTCACGAATCGTCTCGTTTTACATTCCAATCTAAGCCCTAAACTTTGTATTACAGGATCGTCTTCACCTAAAACAGATTCAAGATTGGAATGAGGTAAAGGTTATTATACCGATCTTATAAATATGAAAGTTTTTAGATTTAAATTATTGTATATTTCGCTTGAACAAAAATACAGCGTCGATATTAGCTATTCTCCATATCCCCATATTCCCCATATCTATCTCATTGCCAGCCACAATGTGATAGACAGAGCTTTTACTTTTAGCTTCACGTCCCGTCGTTGCCTCCTCGACCGCATAGGCAATTTTTTTCGAGATTTGTAGTATTACATTTTTATTATATATAGATTGTCTTAAAAATAGCAGTTTCATACGAGCAAGTTTCTGCAACTAAATTTTTTTATATGATAAATCTTTAAGTTGGAAAATAAAAAACTCACTCTTCGTTCTAATAGCGACTATCTTCGGTAGAAACAATAAACATAGAGTAGAGGTGGTCGTTATAAGAATAAGACTGGTTATAGTAATATAGGCAAGCGTTGCCCTCTCCGATATAATGGTTCCGATCACGACAACGCTGGTGCTGGTGATGACGACCGAATAGACGCTGATACCGATGTACTTGGAGTCATTGAGGGCTGATATCTTCACGTGCCTCGTCTCCCACGCCATATAAACACCGACCAGAAGCAGAAGACCTTTGTACGCGTACAGAGCGCATAGCCAGCCAGTTGTGTTTTGGGACTTGCATATTTCTATCTGTAAAATAACAGTCACTATGAGATTGTAGATGCCCCCGAGAATATCGTACCTTTATATGGGACATGAAGGTATCTGTCTGTTCAGTCCTTACTGAAGAATAATAAACTTTAAGCTCAGTAATGAGACGCTAAATCTTGGGGCATGATGTTACTACACTGGACAGCAAATAAACTACAATATAAAATCGGATCATAGTTCCAAGGTTAATTCGAACGATTTTCTATAATCTTAATTGTCATTAAATGCGTTTTCTGTAAGTATAACTTTGATAGCTATAAGTTTTATACTTTTTGTGAAAATCGGATCAGAGTTCCAAGGTTGCGGACTGCCCGGTTTATTTGCTGCCCAGTGTATTATCATTGTCATGTAATTTTGGTGTTATGATAGTTCTCTATTTTATTTATTAAGTTTTCCGTTAACGACTTCGCCTGCATGGTCCAGTATTATACATAAAAACCAACATTTTAAATGACCTTATCTATTAAAAATCCGTTGCGTAGATTTAAATATTTAAACGAGGTAAGTCCATAGGTATCTGTCGACAGACAGACGTAAAGCGACTTTGTTTTATACTATTTTATTAATTAGGTAATGTATTTTCCTGTGTCTTAAATGAATTTTGAATTTGAATTTACAACGCAATTGTGTACACATTAATTATAGTCGCTGATGTTATAATGAAGGATATTTATTGTAATATTGGCAAACTACATTTTAAATACTTATGTTAAAATTTTGATATGATGATATATAAATTAATGAAAATTGTATAGCGTGCATTGTAAATAAGACGATATTATTACATCGTATTGAATTAATTACCTGCGGTTGATAAACTACGCTCCGGTCATTCGGGCTGATTTCTATGGTGAGGTTCTTTAGATGCCTCTCCATGGGATCGAGAGTGGCCCATAGAGTGACGATCATCCCATCGATCACGAGAAGTGCGCACACCAGAGATATCAGCGGAGTGTCTTGAAGAAGTTTCGTCTTGCAAACGCCGCTGCGGTTACTGAATTTTCGATTTTATTAAATGCTAGCTAAACCACGTATCACTGTTGCTAAATCTAATAGATTTCCATGTGAACTCATTGTTATAAAACAAGCATATATTAATCTAATATAAAATGGAAAATAGTGGAGAAAAATTACACTTATTTGAAGTGAGTCAAATGGATGAAGAGAAGAATGGGAGACATTAGGGCAATTAAAGATACAGTAAGCTCCAGCTTCATATATTCAGAGATAACGTAGTATTGGAAGAAGAATCCGTAATACTGCAGGGCTGTATAAGACATGGTTTCGTTGACATCCTACAAAATCCGATTAATTAACGATCTGTGATATAGATCAAAGAGACAAAAGAGGTTTTCAGTGATGACGATGATAGCTTCATCGTGATATCAATTTTGTCAAACTCTCAGCAATTATCAGCAGTGAAATATAATGTGTAAGTTCTTTGAGCGAAAGTGAAGACTACGCTAAAGTTACCTATATTAAATCGAAATTTCTAACATATCTAAAGCGTCAAAATGTTTTTAAAAACCGCAAATAAGTAAATAGTTTAAGAAATTTAATAATAGATTACGATATGACCTACTTTATAAATTTATAAATTACGACACAAGCCTTTTATTTTCCCTTTTCTCGATAATACCCTGTCCAACTTAAAAGACGTTTATTGTTGGACCACAAGCCTCTTAACCTAGTTTTATTTATTTATTTATTTATTTATTTATTCTTTATGCACAATCGTACAAAGGCGGACTTAATGCCTTAGGCATTCTCTGCCAGTCAACCTTTAGGTGATGTGGAGATTAAAATAAAGGATAAAAGTAGGTGCATATGTAATCTTTGAGAGAAAAAAAATAATATAAAATAAGCATAATACAAACATACATACTATATATAACATAATAATATATAACATAATACATATATAATATAATAAAAATAAATACAATACATACTTATAAATACTATGCCTAGTAGAAATGAGATAGCAATTTTTATGATTCTGCCTGATCTAATATTAAATTGCGCAACTTGGATTTAAAAGCAAACCGACTGGCGGACATTCTGATGTCTGTGGGGAGTGCATTCCATAGGATAATGGCTTTAACAAAAAAGGAAGAGTGGATGATGTCAGAGTGATGAGCAGGACACATAAGTAGTCTATTAGAAGAAGATCGAAGGTCTTTTGTATGACTCGTACATAAGTACTGAAAGTGTGGAGTGAGGTAGCTTGGAGCGTTAGGTGATTGCAACAAAGAAAACAGGGTTGTTAGAGCACGGACATCTCTACGCTTTCGAATAGGCATCCATTTCAAAAGGGAGCGATGGAAGGGATCGCCAGTGATAATAATTAGCAAAGTAACGACAGTTAAAAATGGTTCATTACCTTATAAATATCCTATGTACTCGGTACGTTTTTGCGAACATAGATCCGAATGCAAGTGAAAACCCCGCCGACAAAATGTACACTCTACCCTGGAAGAAATAGAGAATAATGTTACATGACCGCTTAACTATATTGAAATTTTTGATCTTAACAGGATATGCTCTGTGATTTAGTTAAAAATTGTAATTTATGGAAATGTCAATCATTAAAATTAAGAGACACACGTCATTGGATATGTAATCGTTGTTGTTTAGAAAAAAAGAGCGCGAATATTCAGTGTTAGGCTGAAAATTGAAAAATATTTTTAGCTCAATATTTTTTTTTAATTTCTTATTTGTGTATAACTGATTAGTATATGATTTCATAATTAAAAATGGCGGCAGGCCCGCATCCAAAAGAAAATTTGCTGGCGGAGAAGACTCCACCACCAATTAAGATAGTGGCAAATTTTATTACAAATACATAAAAGAGGCGTTTTCAAAGACTATGTCTGTATGTACAAAGAATATTGCAAAAAAGAATACCCATTATTTATATCTTCAACCTCTCCCAATACAAAACTTGATATAATGAAGATAAATAACATATTAAAATCTTGTACGGATCTGATGTATGTAAAACACATTGGCAATTTCATTTTCAAAGCATATTTGGAAAGTCTAAGAAAGAAATATAAAGTAAAAGTACCACAACGATTTCAAGAGGAAGATTTATTAAAAAATATGAAATCTATATAAAAAAAATAGGTGTGAACGCTTCATGAGGAAGAATCAGGATGGCTCATTCTCCTACACTAAAAGTGCTTGGTACATTTCGTAGCTTAACTCGTCCGATCATGTGACTAACGATTTTATGTGGTTTCGTACATTTTAAAAAACTATACCTCATTTATTAAAAATTTATGCAATATTTTAATGACATTTCCTAAAAAACAAGTTGCCATAACGCAAGCCTACTATTTAGTGGAATGATATTTGTCCTCTAGCAGTTAATAAAGCTTGACTCCCTATAAACAATTATACGAGTATAAGCAATTCGATGCTAAAAAAGGAGAACACTGGCTGAGAAAAAGCTCAACTGTTAAAATAATATGGGATCAAAATAGAAGATTTAAATTTGCTAAATTGGGAACTATATGGGCTTATTCAAATAATATAACTCTTTCGAATTCGTTTAATGATTTTAATTCTCATAATTTAGATTCGTACTTTACGTCCGAGGGATGTGAGTGGGTGAAATCGATCCAAAATCCCTTTCAAATGTTTGAATTTGAAGCTGCCTTAAATAATAAAAAGAATACTACACCAGGCCCTGATTATATTCCATATTCTGTCATTAAAAATCTTTCTGAAAATGCTAAAAGTCTACTTTTAAAAAGATACAATAAACTATGGAAAAATAATATTATACCTCCTATTATACCCTGGAAGACTTAGATTGTAATACCCATTTTAAAACTTAATAAGGATGGCAATAGCCAAGATACTTATAGACCCATCTCTTTAATTTGTGCTTAACAAAGTTAATTGAGGAAAGTAAAAAAATAATTAAAATGGTTTATCGAACATTGTTATCTTATACTAATTTGGTTTTCGCAAGGGAAACAGCACGATGTACAATTAAGGTTGTTTATTAGGCGACATGCAAAGTAATCTTAGGGAAAATAAAATAACTATCACCGTCTTTCTACACATAAAAGGCGCATTCGATAATATTAAACATGATTACTTTATTGAAACTTTAAGCTCATACGGTATTCCTGTACGCGTAGCATGACAAACTCGAGAAACGCTTTGTCTACACTCAAATGTCACTTTTCTCGGGTGCGTCAATACGATATCTCACTCTCGACCCGAGAAACTGACAACCGAGTGTAGACAAACTCGAGAAACGCTTTGTCTACATTCATTTGTCAGTTTCTCGGGTCGATAGTGAGATATAGGCGCACCCGAGAAAAGTTACATTTGAGTGTTGACAAAATGTTCTCGAGTTTGTCATGCTACGCGTGCTGCTCCAGTTTTATTTTGGATTTTCAGTTTTTTAAATGGTATTTCTGTAACATTAATAATTAAGGATAATTTATACGACTTACGTATATAAAAGGTACCCCCGGGGATTAGTTATTTCACTACTACTTTTAATTTTAAATCTTGTAAATTTTATGAAACTTATACCGAATTTAGTGAAATATACTTTTTATGTTGATGACGTTGTTATATAGATAGACTGTATGACTAATTATGAACAATTGTCTTGTCTTTCTTAGTAACTTGCTAAATAATCAGTTAGAACTGGAAGTAAACGTAGATAAAAGTTCAGTTACGCTTTTTTATTGCCCTGTCAGTCCTCGTATATATTATAATAATGTTCTAATACCTTACAAATCGTATGAGAAGTATTAAGGATCATCCTTTATTCGGAATTATTTCGAGGTTTGAAGAATTTGTGCGAGACAGTATTATTTGCAGATGACACCTCTTTACTGTTTAAAGTTAAGAGGGGTAATGATTGTTTTGACGATGTAAATAATGCTCTCGACAACGTTCTACAGTGATGATAATAATAATTTAAAGCTCAATTCAAATAAAACGAAATGCATAAAGTTTGCATTACCTTATGTGAGGCATGTCAGTACACTTATAAATGTAAATAGTGAAAAATTTGAGTTAGTAGAATCGACAAAGTTCCTTGGTATTACACTAGATTTCCGACTGCAATGGGATCCTCATATTGATAGCTTGTCAAGTAGACTGAGTTCTGCAGCTTTTGCTGTTAAGAAAATTAGACTCTTGACAAATGTTGAAACGGCAAGATTGGTATATTTTAGTTACATATTTTCATAGTGTAATGACGTATGGTATATTGTTGTGGGGTTCTGCGGCTAGCATTCAGGATATTTTTATTCTACAAAAGAGAGCTGTCCGTGCTATATATAATTAACGGTCTAGGGAATTTCTCAGAGAAATATTTAAAGAAATAAATATTATGACTGTTGCCTCTCAATACATCTATGAGAAAACATTACGATTCCTTCACAAAAAAAAGTAGTGTTCATAATCTTAACACAAGAAATAAAAATTAACTTGCCGTTCCAAGCTTCAGATTTCAAAAAACCAGAGGATCATTTCTGGGTAAATGTATTGCTATGTTCAATAAAGTTCCACAAAATGTGATTGACCTACCCATAAATAAAATTCAAATTCATGTAAAGAATATACTTATGAGTAAAGGCTATTATAAAGTTGATGATTATTTTAAGGACCGCAATGCATGGAATTAATAGCTTTCGCTCTGTTCTATAACGATTAATTATAGGTATGTACCAACCTATGTGATTATGACAACCTACATGATTTATGTAAATGTCTTTACTTATGATAAAAAGCTGGTAAGTTTCTTTCGCTTGTTCTTCTTGTCAGCTAAAAGACATCCTGAACAAGTGGTAGGGGAAAAAATTTTTTTGGACGATTCAAAAGTGCTTGTAACAAGCTTACTTGAATAAAAACATTTTCATTTCATTTCGGTCCCCACATTACATATCCTTAAAAAGAAGCAGGATTGCGTTTATTTTTTTTTGATATCACTGGTTAGGGTTAGGGTTAACTGGGGCTCTGAACCAAAAATTATGAAAAACTTTTTATTTCTACAGTTCGTAGTCAACTACATTATGGTAGTATTTTTCTGCTATCTCATCCAACCAGTTTATTCGAAAATTAGACATAATTCAATATAAAGGATAAAGAATAATTACAAGAGTTATGATATTTGCTCCTATAAATTCCTTAGAAGTCGATTCTGGTATAAGAAGTAGTTATTTCTCTCAAAAAATTTGTCTGAATTTAATTATTCATGATAATATTTTAGTTTAGTTAAAATTTTGTACTAACTAATTATAATAATATTCCTATGCCTGCGATGCTTTCCATTACTATCCATTACCTATTGAAACTTTGAATTTCAAGATGTAATTAATTGGTCGTTTAAGCCTCCTTGTTTCTTTTAAAGCTTTGAAGTAATGCTATGTGATATTGTAATAACATTAACTAGATTCGATTCAAAACACGACTTTCATGAGTTCTTGAGCGAAAAAAATTATTACATAATAATTTACACAGATGGTTTTAAAACAAATAATCGCACTCGTTTATTAATGTGATCAACATTTCTCAATTTTTTTCTTTTGAGATCCTAGGCATGATTTATGCTGTCAAATATATATTGTTTAATTTCAATTCATAATATTATTAGTAGATTACTTGCATTAAAGTATACATGTATTAGAAACCTGATGTAATTTATTAATTGAATTTTGTTGGGTACCGCGACATTCCGGCATATTTGGGATCGAGCTCGTAGATAAACTTGCACGATCTGCACATAATAAGTATAACAGTGATAAATCAATATTATCAAACGATGGTTCATATGTCTGGCCAATTCACGTCTTACTATGGGTAAACGGCATGCAGAAATTGTCCCTGCGCCCATTGCTAAGGCCTGGTTTGAGAAATTAACTACCCGGAATAGGACTTTCATAATTTACTTGTGTAGATTTTGTCTGAATCATCACACAAGGTCATTTTTAATTCCCATCCCGTCTTCACCGCTTCAGATTATGTGACAATGCATTGTGTAAATATTGTCCTCAGCATTTATTTTTTAAATTGAAAATATTTTGACTTGCTGCGTCTTCTTTTTGTCTCTTTATGTACAGATGTACTAAAAAACAAAAATTTTCCAAAAAATGTGCAGGACATGCTAAAAATAGTTTATATATATGTCGGCGGGTAGTCTCAGGGGGCTATTACGAAGCCCAAATAGATCGTCCATATCGGAGGACTATCTTTAAAATAACACCGCAGGCGTGTTTACCAATGTCTTCCATTTTATTACTTTTCATACGAAAAGTATAACGAGATCAGCGTGATGTCGTCGGATGTCTTTACTCCTCGACGATAGGCAACAGAATGTCTACCAAAATGGCGGCAACTTGCTTTTGTTAATTTACTTTCGTTTAGGAATTAATACCTCTTATATGACTCGATCGATGCGCCGTCATATATGTATTATTTTATAATTTCTATAATAATATTTTGGTCCTCTGTAAATGGTTTTACCAAATTTGATTCTTTTTTACTATTATATCTATTTAACATAATTTGTAGGGTTTTTTAGTGTAAAGATTATAGTAATGTTTAGTACCAATTCTTTGTATTAAAGGATTAAGCTGATGGCCTTGGCTGCCAATGCTCTTAATAAAAAATAATCAAAATCATGAAGATTAAATAAAATGGCCTAACTCTACCATTGGAATCACTACAAAAAAAAAAACTATTTCCCGGCATGGTTATGAACTATTTGTTTCAATTGCTTCGTCAATGTCCCGCACCAGCCAAATTAATTGTAGCATCCGGCACTTAGTTCTAGGTTAATTTGTAGACGTTAAATCTACTTATCAAGGACCTAGTAGTAGTGTGTTATAGCTATACCCAAAAAGTTTTATTCATAGGAAGAGCTTATGTCTTATAGTAGGTACATTAATAAACAAATATCAAATATTGCTTAGATTATTATTATTAATTAAACATTGCTTAGATTCCAAGATTAGTAGTAATAGCACTTGATTTTTGAAAAGCTGAAACAATGAATCTACTACAACAACTATACCCAAAGAATATATAAAATTTCACCCGATCGGGATCCCAGAGGTGGCGATACCTTTAAATCATGTAGGTATAGGGCGGTTAATATTTTATAGTCTTCAATTGGTGAATACTTACCGTGCACATAGCCGAAAACGGCACGTAAGACGGAAGGGTAGCGTGGTCTACTCCCAGCAGAGCCACCGCGGTATATACCAGCACGCAACCGATCAGCGTCATGTTGTTCAGTCGAGGAGAAGACAGCTTTATTGATCTTGAACACAAATATATATTTATATATTTGCTACTTAATAGAAAACGCTAATATGACTCCAAAGGACACAGATAATCTTCTCAATTATTAGCATGATTCAATATTTCGTTAGACCGTGGATAAACTGAGCAGTTTTTCTGGTTTCAAAAGAAGTATCTTGAATTTTTTAACTTTCTCTTCTTAATTATTGACGTTCGCCAGTATCCAGTGTTTCGCTGGGTTTACTTTATATCTCTTTAGACTATGTTATGTTGTGAAAATCGTGGGACGTGAAAAATGTTTGTCCTGGAAGAGACATACACAAAGAACCGATGTTATTAAGTTATATTACAGACATCGCTCACCTTCTTTTACTATAATGCAAGTTGAAGGCGAGGAATGCTAGCGCGAGCGCGACCCCTGCAGCGGCGAGCGTGGCCACCGCGAGCCTGGCGGGCGCCCACACCGAGTCCACGCGCAGCACCAGCACCCGCCGGGCGGCCGGCACCCCGCCCCCCCACTGCGCGCGCGAGCACTCCGCACATGAGAGCGCCCGCCCGCCCAGGTATAACGCCACCGTCCGAGTTCGACCGCCTGACGATAACACCATAATTTCACAAGACAATATATAGAGACATACACTCGGTTTCTGAATTGAAAGTTGAACATGTCTAAGACTGTACTTAGACCATCTTAAACAGGTTTTTGATTTTTTTTTAATGGTCGGTTGATAGCAGTTTGATAAAACTAGGACTTTTTATTATTAGAAATGTATAAAAGTGAAGTTGTTGAGAATTACCAGGTAAAAATTTTCACTTTTCTCAGTTTAGAAAGCTAGTTACTATATAGTTGGGAATATGCATAGACTAGGATGTCACGTGATGTCTCTGAATCATACTCCCAACCCGTAGAGGGACCGGTCCCTGCAAGATGTGGGCCAAAATAGATGTAAACAGCGCGGTACGTGGTCTTTAGGCTGTCTCCGTGTTTCCCCTCCATAGAGAGGGATATCGCTAAGTTTTAGTGGGTATGCCCTGTTATTTGAGGTGGGTTCGCAGGGGAAAGTTACACATAACCCGTCAACCCGTGCTAGGGGGGAGCGGATATGCGTAAAAAAGACGTCACGTGATTGACCGCCGTTGTCGGTTGGCATGCTTCTTTAGACGGTTAATTTTCGAGGAGTGAGGTTGTGTGATCTGCGTTATTTATTTTGTTTGTTTATTCGGTGATTTATGTAAAGTCTATTAATTAAGTTTAAAAATAGTAATTTTGCTCGTCATATTGTATTATTAAATTAAATGTATTACTGGTCTTTTTTTTTGGTTATATAAACCCTTCTGATTTCTAACGATACATATATTTTGTTGCACAAATTTACTCTTTAAAATTTACTCTAAAAAAATTTCATGTACACTGAGTTTATTAAAAACGAACTTAAAAGCTCACCCTGTATCTGGTAGAAAGCAGATGTTCCTATACGATCTGCTCCGTTGAAGGACACGGGACCCTGAAAATAAGTGAATGTATTAAATTTCTTTATAAAATTTTAATTGAAAGGCTTATATTAAATTACTTATCTTAGCAAAACTTACCGATACCCCTAAAAAACTCAAATTCCCAAGCTGATTGAGGAACTCCTCGGCCATATCCTTCCTGTTGTAGTCGAAGTTGTTCAATCCCAACCTCCATCTTTTGGTGGTGGTTTCCTCTGAACTCCTCCAAAGAGCCTCTGCTCTGCTCAATGCCAACGCTATAGCCCAAACCGCGTCATAAGTCTGTGGGGCGTACGGTGACGCTATCACACCGGCTGTTTCCATCTCATGATTGAACATTTCGTTGGTCTGAAATTTATACCATAAATATTTGATTAATTTCGCATTCACAATGCTTTACTGAAAATTATTCTTAGTACAAAATACTTAAAAAATCCACTGGGTCGATGCCTGAACATTGATGAGAATACGCTCTGTAGTAGCGAAAAGTAACAAGTGCTTGAAAGATTCGTTAGTCCTGTTAGGTCCTGGGTAGCTCAGTGGTTAGAGCAGTCGCCTGGATTGCGAAAGGCGTAGGTTCGAGTCCCATCTCAGGGTGCCAGGGACCAAGTCGATTTTGTATTAAGAAATTACCATAAATATTCTTACAGACTCCTACTTCCATATAACTACTACTGGTAAAGTAATGTACATTAATAAAGCTCCCATCTAAGTGTTATATAAGAGACTGGTTCGTGATATATACCATTTTAAAATAGTGATAGTCTTTATTATTTTCTTTACACCCGTAGTGCTTTCTATTAGACACATTAACTGGTCGAATGTTGTCTTACTTTGCTTACTGAATTTCCTATACTGAATTACAATAAAGAAAAAACATATATTATTGCCGCTATTTATGCCGCAATAATATATGTATTTTAAAAATATTTTATGTTACCTTGTGCCATACTACTCGTATGATCACAAAAACGTATAAAGTTCGATACTTTGCTCACTGTAATTGATCCTGCCTTACACGAAGCATTCTGTGTTCAGAATTCTATATTATACGCGATACATGGCATGAGATTTCTATAGTGAACATTTATTTATTGTATTTACTCTTTATTACTTACAATAAAACATAATTAGCGGTTTTAATACCATAGGCATTATCTACCAATCAACCAGAGCGAAAGTTGGATTTGAATGTAATGCGACATGAATAAACATTACTGTTAAATTATGATGAATAATGATCGATAGATCAAAGAAAATTTACAAAATCTAAATATATAAGTAATAACTTAATAATTACATAAATACTAAATTGCTCGTACATAATATACATACAAATAAATAACTTACAGAATGTGAACGATACAATTACAGTCCGAGATAGTGCTTCCGCACCAATTTCCCGAATATCATCTTACTCTGAGCATTCCTAATGCGAAACAGTCCCGGGACTAATCTCACCTTCTACCCATTGTTTAGAGAGAAGACCTGATGGCCGTTGGAGCGGAAAGATTTCTAGAAAGGGGACCAAGTATCGGGCGACAATCACTCACCAGGTGAACCGACGATCTAATTAAAGGAGAAATTTCACTAGACGGGCACCCCCGCGGGCATGTTTGCAGATATACATCTGCCAGACCTCGTTTAATATAGAGCGGTCATGTCTGCCTAATGTAGGACCATCGCAGTCCTAACACAGACCTATAGTAACGAGGTCTAGCAGGCTAGTGAATTCCTCGCTTAAGATTACGGGAAACCGCTGTGGACGTCGAAAGGATGAAGGAATTATGATGATGACTCATGGCCTGACCCAATCAATATTCTTGGTTATACTTGATTATTTATTTTTAAATATCCACTTGTCCCTGGCACTCTGAGATGGCACTTGAACTCACGACCTTTCGTAATCCGGGTACATGCTCTATAATATATCTATTGTGGGGAATCTATTAAGTATTTATATGCTATTGCTAAAGTATTGACTTAAAAAGTAAGTACATTTATCTCCCGCGAGACTATTGCGGTATTGAATAATACATGACCGAGGTGCTTACCTGTCGTGCCTTAGGTAAGTTTTCTATAAGAATTATGTGTAGAACGCAACCTTAATTTATCGTGGAGCTTTAGCTCGCAGGGGGCTAATAACATATTGTTATTTATAAAAGAATGCATTATAAAGTTTTTATTATAGGAATGATAGCTTTTTCTTTCATATAGATTATTAAACAATGCCTGATTTGGTTCGCGCGGTACCAGAATAAAATTTGCGTATGTATAGCGAACATAATGCTCTTTCAAATAGTAAAATATTATTATTTTTTATCAATTTTACATTCATAACGCTATACTGAAAAAAAATCTTATTAATAATAATATACTTTATTGCACTCAATATGATACAATGTTTACAGGAGCTTATTATTTAAAAACATTGAGTAAACAAATGGCGGCCTAATTGCTTAACAGAAATTTCTTCCAGGCAACCTATGGAGAAACTGGATAACGAATAAAGATACGGTGGGGAGTGGGTGCAATATTGAGAAGGATAAGTATATTAATAGCTTTAATATATTATTACAAATAAAAAATATATAAAAACAAATAATGCATATAATGAATGTAAATATATACATATGAAACGGATGAAATTTATTAATTAAAAATGCTTTATTCCTGGCACTCTGAATTGGGACTCAAACTACTACTCAGTACTAGCTACCTCTCGCAATCCGGATGACTGCTCTAACCACTGAGCTACTCAAGTCCTAACAGGACTATCTAATTTTTCAAGCAATTGTAACTTTCTCGCTACAATAGAGCGTATTTTCAATTTTCATCAATGTTTAGGCATTCCACACAAACAGCCGAAAAATCTCATAGAATTCAGTGATTATTTCTATACCAAATACATAGTAATTGCACATATATATATATATATATATATATATATATATATATATATATATATATATACATATACACATAACTATACATAACTTGAGTAAATCTTAGAAAATATCTATGCATATGTTAGCTATTGTCAAATAAATTTAAAATTTCTCATACTTAAATATGATCGAATATTACCTAGCTATCAATAACATTGTTTTTTACAGTTCAAAAGACAACAAATACCTATGTCACAAGGTATTTTATTAATATGAGTAAACATCTTTCCTTATATTTCCTTATTTATACTTAACTGCCTAACTATAAGACAAAATTGTAACTGGGATACAGAGACATAAATTTATTATTATTATAACAACAACATGCTATTAGTTGGATTACCAATAGCAGTTAAAGTTAAGGCAACATTGCTTTCACTAACTTTAAAATCGACTGCGGGATGCGTTGCACTATCCTTTTACATGGCATCGGCGAAGTTTGGGCGGTTGCCAAATAGTGCAACTCATTATTTGTTTACCTATCCGGTACTTTAGCATGTCTGTTATTGTTAAAGTAAGTTAGTACAACCATCCTAGCAATATTTTATAAAAGGTAAGCTCATTAATTATCGTTAATTTTGTACACATAATTATACTGGTGATTATTTAAGGAACCCGTTTATCTGATACCCCATTGTTTGAAACTTTATTTAGGACGACGTGAATAATACATTTTCATATTGTAGCTTAAAAAAATTAACACATTTATTTTATAACTGTACCTGTCTTGCTTATGTTATATATAATTTTGTTTGCGGTTTAATTGGGTCCGGCTGTACTCATCGACATATCTAATAGATAATTTCAATGAAGTCATGATCCATTATTTTTTTAACCAGAAATAAAACTTATCATGAACTATGAAAATAAGCCTGAGTGTTGATTATGTGAGGTTGAGGCTAATTGTATTATTATGTAAATATTGATATCTTTAACCGAATCCATTCTTTTATCAGCTGTTGGAGGCGAGACACTGAGAACTGGCCATTGTACATCACGCAGGGTTAATAAGGATTAGTGAGGGCTAACGACTGCAGATGTCGGATGTAGGACTTCAGAAGGCGGCTTAACATGCCTTCAGTAGTACGGAAAGCCCCTCAATGCCCAACGCAGACTTTTACAACTCCGAGGGCTTATTCTATTTGTCCCCGAAGAAATATTCGCAAAATTTAAGATCTTTTTTATCATTTTATTAAAATTATATCCTCGTTACTCCGTTACATCATAAATTAACGAAAAAATCGTTTATTTGTAAACTCGGAATAGACGAAATATCGTTTTCGGGGAAATAGAATAGGACTTCAGCTATGATGTTAATTCGTGCGAGTAGTAGGTAAGTATACATAAAAGTCGTTGTAGTCTCCTAATGAACAGATTTTGCGCCATTAAGTTCATTGTCTGAATTCCGCCCATAGTGTAATGGAACATTTACACGAGTCTTGATTGACTAATGAGGATAAATAACTAACTTGAGGATTGTTTTAATTTACACGACGCTAATACTGGTCTGATTTACTTTAGTGTCTTGGCTAATAGCCCAATGTAAATGGTCCGCAACCGATTCCTTACCAGTCCAGAATATGAGGTGGCGTCACCGACGATGCCTTTGTGAGCTGTGACAGTGACCAGTCCCTCTAAAGCACTGGCCAAGTGTGCACGCGCACACGGCGCTGAGCCTCGTATCCTTGGCGGTGCACCAGCTACCAGCCACGCGTACTCTGCTCCGAACATGCCCAACTTGAACGCCTGCGATCTCGCAAAATACGGAAAATCAATTTTTGCTGTACATTCATTAAGATTACGAAGTTACAGGGCTCGCTTTGTGCACACTAATTCAACTTTGGTGTTTCTATTAATATGTTTTCATTAAGTCAAAAAGTTTCCGATTTTAATATATCTTAGAAGAAGTTTATAAATTACAACTAATATTCTAGAATTTTCTCAGCGGCAATATCTTCATATTCGAATCGAATTCTATATTTGAAAGTATTTTTTTTCTTTACTTGCTTTTTCCAACCAGTCTAAGTCCAAACTTTTCAAAACTTTTCGTTTTGAAAAGTTTGAACTATGTATTAGTTTGAGTTACTTACCGAAATGTGTAAAAGAACAATTTTTAAGGACTCTAGTACTTATAACTCTAAGGGACCATTAGAGTTTTTTGATAACATTTTTTGCTGTAGATATTAGCAACTCAGTCAAATTGGTTTATTTTTTTTGCTAAGTATACTAATGAAACAACATAAGAATTAATCATATAATCCAAAAATCTTAGAAAATGTAACATAAGTATTATAAAAATGTCAAACTGTCTTTAGAACAATTTACTTTAAATTTATACAACAGACTAAATAAGGAAATAAATGTTTATCAATAAAATACCAGGGCGTTCAAAGTAGACTTCTTATTGGCTAAAATCACTTTCCTTCTTTGAAACAAAACACTTAAAATTACGCAATAAATTTATAAAGATCAAATTTCGTCATTTCTAATACACACTCTCACATATACTCTCGCTTTACTCGAGAGGATCACTTTAAATTATAAGGTACTAAAATAAATTAGTTGAGTGTCTGTTACTTGCTATTCAAATCACCTTTGTCAATTAAATACATAAATAAACATGTTTTCATATATAAACATACATACATAAACAAAAGCTCATACATAAATATGCATATATACATAAAAATAATAATAATAAAAATATGTAAAATAGTGTAAGAGACAGGTAACGATTATGCTAAAGCAATAACTTAAAACATTAAAATTTATTGTAGTTTTCTATGTGAATGTAGTATAGAATATCTTAAAAGCTAGGATAGTTTCCTAGCAATATTTTCTTGTAACTATGACAGATAAAGTTGCTTGCTTTTACTGTCCATTCTCACAAACTAACATAGAAAAGGCAAGTCATAAGTATAAAAATATGAGGTCGAGGCGTTTCTTGTTGTCTACACAAAACCGTAGCATTTACTATTAGTTTCCGACACCAAGCCACCAAACGTTAGAACAACATCCCACCCCCACTTAGACTTTTGTGTAAGGGATCTTTCATGAAGAAACTGAAAGTAGAGTGTCTCCAGAGGCAAAAATTTCGTCTAGTAAATATTTATTAAAAAATTATTATTTCGTATTTGAGTGTAATAATATATACTTATCTATTATTGTTTATATTTATTAAGTTGAATCATTTGTATAATACATTGGAACACTGTTGTAATTTTTAATGTCTCTATACACCAAGTATTTTACAATAACTTATAATGTAGTAGTGGTTCAATAAAGATTCATCTATCTATCTAAATATTCGAGGGCTGGTTTGTGAGGTTTTTGAAATTATTATGTTATGCATTAAAGTCGCTTCCAGTTTATTAATTCAGTTGATGTCTGTGAACGGAACTACGTATCCAAAAACTAAAAAGAAAAGTGCTTGAAAAACAACCATTAACACACCGACGGTCATTAAGTACGTGGCAGATGATAAATAATTCATAACTCGAACGCAACTCACCTCGCAGAAAATTTTCGGAATCATATCCTGTGAAAAACTGCCTATTATTATTCTGGTATCGAGTTCCTGAAACAAAAAAAAAAACACTTTTAGTGGAGTACAGCGTGGTAAGTGCAAGTTTTACGCTAACGCGTTCAATAGTGAGCGCGGTAAGAATTTGTATAGAGATTTGTAGTTCTTGATAGTTACCGCTAGGGGCGCTGTACCGGATTCCATACTAAAATCTTAACGCGCTCACGATCGACAGTGAACGTAAACGACAAAAAAACCGACAAAAAAACTTACACTAAGCGATCTGGTGTATAAAAATAAGTACTTTAATTTTCAATACTCAATAAGTTTCCATAGGTAATTTATAATAATGTAACATAGTTTAGTTCGTACTATAGACCCTGTCGGGCACAATAATAAAAGACAGGAGGAGCTTGGAGGAAATGTAATCTGTTCATTTACATTTATAAAGATATTTTTATTTTATTAAAAAAAAAACTTTTAACCTTGACAGTCTCAGGTAAGCTTAGGAAATAAATCAACGAGAATCTCATAATTCTCAAATGGAAAAATTTGTACATATTTCCGTTTTAAGAGGGCGCGTACCCCCAAAATCATTTGCTTCCAATTGGTTTTGTTTGATTGAAAACTATCAATACAGCAAAACCTATCAAGTGTAAATAATAAAGGAGCTTGTGATAAAAATGTGCGAGAGATTTATAAGTATTGCTAATGCAGTATGTGGAATCACTAATGGTATAGGTAGATCGCTCTGTATCCGTGGAGAGAAACAAGCATAATGAAATTATAAAACTACTGCACATTTTCGTTACGAGCTCTCACTTTAATAAATAATACATCTAATCATCAAGCAGATAATAAAAATTTCAATTTACTACATTACATTTTCAATAAAATTCTATGGAGAAGAAAACAATTTACATTATTGGACGTTCAATCTGTAAATTTAATATTTAAGCGTTTTCGTTTTAAAATTAATTTATTCATGAAACATTAATAAATCACTAGGTGCAGACGGGCGATTTATAGAGGTGTCTTAACAAAAAGGGATTAACGCTATTTGAATAACACCGGCTATCAGTGAGTAATTTTATAGCCGAGTTATATGAATTTCAATGATTTTAAATAAGGTGCAAAACGTAAATGACAACGCAAATGTTATAATTATTCTCTGTTTATCACTTTACATAGCCAGGTAATCTAAACTTATATTACAGAGATGTAAGATTTGCTTGTCTGTTTGCATTGAATAGACTCCGAAACTTCTGAACCGATTTTAAGAGTCACTTCACCTACGGAAAACTACGTCTTACGCGGATAACATAGGCTATAATTTACGCGGATCAAGTCGTGAAAACTAAAAAAATCATTACACACATCACTAATATCATGAAAATATATATATATATATATATATAATGTTTTATTTATGTTGTTTTTAATTTGATTTTTAATTTTTTAATATGATCTTTAATTAATCTTCGCGGCATTTAGATATGACGATGATTTAATGTATTTTAGATAATTGTAATGAATTTACTTATTATTATTATTTGTTTATATTTTTGATTTTAAAATTTATTGCATGTTTTAATTTTCAATTTTATTTATTTGTATAAACTAAATTTTGATTTGTGTATATGAGTGTTAATGCTTGTAATAAATGGAATTATTATTATTATTATTATTATATTGTTGCTTATTTGACAGTAATTTAAATGTCAAACAATGTCAAACAATCAGAAAGAAGCAGTATGTTTAATTTGAACTTATAATATGGAGAGCAAAAATTTTATTGTCGTTTGCATCAAATAGACTCCTAAACTACTGGACTGACTTTGAAATTCCATCACCTGCGGGCAGCTTCATCATTTACGGGGAAGGCCATAATTTACGAGGAAGAAGTCGCTAAATAACACATAGTACTTTATATAGTATCTGTGCCACAACTTTTACTTTTTATTAATAACTAATATGAGAGTTGTGTGGTCGAACATAGCATAACTACCCATATTTCATTATGATTCACTGAAGTAGGAATAAACAAACAACCGGTTACCTTTGTTGCGGAGTATTGGCAAAGTTATGAGAATACATCTGTGAGCTTTCAACATTCGATACGTAATAGGGAAACTTATTATTGTAACAAGTTGGTACTGTGTTTTTCAATTGAGATGGAGTTATGAAAAGTTTCAAATGAACAGGTATGAAGCGGAGCTTAAGTAAAAATAGTGGGGCGTCAGTAGCAATAAAACGAAGCGAACGAGTCATGTTGCGAGCTATCCGACCAGAGATGTATTAAGGAGTTTATGAAAGCCGACGCCATTTTGTTACGTTATTCTAAAAAACAAGCGATGTTTTTAATTATTATTTATAAAAGACATGTCTTAGTCTTACAATCGAAGTGTAAACGTTTTGGCAAATTTTTAGCAATTCACAATAGCAAGGAAAATAAATCGCAAAATATAAACAAGTGTGGTTTGTGGTAAATAATGGCTGAAAAATATCCTTTTTTTATTTTAGAATAGCTCGGTGGCGTAATGGATAAGCATCGTGGTCCTCGATCGTTGTTGCTAAGAAACTCTGTGGTTGGTGACCAAAATAATAATATCTCGAGCTGCTCCTTGCTACGGAAGGCCCGTAAAGCCGTTAGTCCCTGCTGCATTTGTAGTCATTAATATCCAACAATCTGCATTGGGCCAGCGTGGAGGATCATATCATGGCCTTAACAATCTATAAGGAAGGCCTGGGCCCCTGCAATGGGAACGTAACAGGGCTGACGGAAATGATTTTTTATTTAGTGTTAGTCATTATTTTTCACATATGAAGTCGAAGCAGGGTCTTAAAAAATAAATAATTTAAAGAAAAACAAAAAAACCCAACTGCGTTAAAACGATTTTTAACAAATTAACTAAAATAAAAAAAATGATAAAAGGAACCTAATGATGATTTAAAAATACCTATTCAACGACACCCCACTTGACATAGTTCATTTTGACAATATGGCGTCTGGTTGTCGCTGTAGTGAATTTTGATTATTGTCATGTCTTTAGTGACACTCGCAAGGTTAAGACGAATCGATTGATGTAAGAATCATCAAAATCGGTCTACGCATTTGGTCTCTAGAACGCCACATAGAAACAAACATACATACATGGACTGATAATAAACACATTACCCTCCCTTGCGCTACGCAGTCGGGTAAAAACTACTCTCCCTTTTGCCTTTCGTCCGGTTATAGGACTTAGATGCAGCTAATGAATGGCCAACGATCATGAAAAAAGAAAAAAAACGAAAGAAAAATGTAATACTTAAGTTAGAAAAGAAAAAAACTACATGTGAAACGAATGCAATATATGTGTGTGTTGTTATAGTATCAATTTAGTATCATCATCATCATCATCTTCAGCCCTTTATTTTGTCCCCACTGCAGGGCTCAGGCCACCTCATGGATGGTTAAGGAGCATGGGCCATGGCCCATGACCCTCCACACAGGCCCAATGCGGATTGGCGGGTATTAACGACTACAAACGCAGCCGGGACCAACGGCTAACGTGCCTTCCGAAATACGGAGTAGCTCGAGATAATAATTATTTTGGTTACCCATCCCGTGACCGACCCTTGCGAAAGTTGCTTAGGGACAACGATCGTGTGCCGCGGCGATTATTCACTACGCCACCGAGCTACTCAATTCAGTATCGCTCGCGTATTAATCGTGTTGGTGTTTGTACATAACTATTAGACATAATCTACTTAATGTATTAATATTATCATTATCCAATCTTGTATCAGTTGTTTGAGTCGATTGTAAATATAACTAATAATTAATATTGATCATTGCTCAAATCCCAAATTAAGTATCAAAGCAATTGTATTACGGATGGCGGGTACAAGGAAGCAACAATCACTTTCGATATTGACACGACCAAGAATTGAACCCGCGACCTCAGAGCTGGCGACACATTGCACCCGGTGTACCTATAGTCAGACAAAAATATGGTCTACCAAACTACAGTAGAACATTAGAAACAATAATATAATTATATGGTCAGCAAAGAAAGTAATCTACCAGTTTTGACAAAAGTTCCCGCGAGATCGTATTATCGATAATATAATTATTTTCTTTTAGATAATAGACAATGCGTCATTAACTTGATTTATCAAAGAGCTTATCGCTAATTCGATCTTGCAAAAACTTTTTTCAAAACTGGTAGATGCTGACCGTATTGTAGCCACTAAGCTATGGGTCGTCGAGTTATTATATAATGTAAACAAATTAATAGAATTAGCAGGGGAAAGATAAAAACAGTGTTATTTCTAATAGGGAATAAATTATTAAGGATTTCAATATTTCACTAATGATGCTGTTGACACGTTTTAATTCCCAGTAACAAATCATACCTTAATACGCCCCAGTTAGACTTAAAACAATAGATACAGTTCTTTGTTGGAACTCCACAGACAATGGAACGGTACACAATTAGCCTTGAAACATTTGCTGCTATAGGAGATTTATTTTATATTTCCAGCTGTGTTCTGTTATAAATATAATAGCTTCCGAGGAAAGGTAGTCTATTTTCATTAGAAGTAGTAGACTATATCTAATTTCAAAGGAGATAAATAGAGGCTACGGAATTATAAAAGAGGATATAATTTATTCATCATTAAAAAAAATGGTTTTTACGGTGCTTGTTGGTTAGGATAATAAATATGCATCATAAATATCATAAGCTGTCAAGCCTTCCTTATGCGGATTGAACGGTATTAACGACTGCAAATGCAGCCGTAATCAACGGCTTTCTTCTAAAGCTTGAGAAAATAATAATAATAATAATAATGTTTGGTCACCCATCCCATGACAGACCCTCGCAAAAGTTGCTTAACAACAATGATTTCGGGTCGCGACGCTTATCCACTACGTACTATCGTATATGCGTGTATCATTTCCATCGTGTGGTATTATATATATATAGGACAGTGTGAGAGCGTCCTTTAGTGTTTTAGAGTACACCTACATGATACAGAGTACAATACTCTATTTTAGAGTATTGTTGGCAACTCTATTGCGAGGGATTTCCTAGCAAATAATACTGAAATAGATATTTATATAATACTTTAGAACAAAATTTCGCTTATAAGCTAACTGTTTCTACTTATGTTTAACTTTACGACTATGCCGCCATCTCTGTGGTCCCGGGTTCAATTTTCAGTCGTGTCAATGTGGAAAACTAACTCTTCTATAATATCTCGCGTCCGAGTGTTGGGTGTTTGGTACCTCTGATGTTTCGGGTTTTCATAATATAAGTTATAAAGCAAATATTTTTATTTTTATTTAGAGAAATTAATAAGTAAGTTATTTATTACAAACATACAGACGAGTACTACCCTTTTAAGACATCTCAGTAAAAGTAAAATTGAGTTAAGATAATTGTACATAAACATTACATATTCGAAAACTTGAAAATTTACGTGATTTATAAAAGTAGCACAGCACATGTTGCACACACAGTATTATTCAACACATTGCACAAAGCTTAAGCGTGATTTAAATGATGAATGAAAAATTTTTGGTCATAAATGAAACAAAATACAAGGTCATGTTTATGTGGGCTCAGAATATATAGATAATGATAATGAACCATATAGAAGTGATAGTAAACCCATATAGAAGTTCACGCTGTTCTCAACAAACTTCTAACCTTGAGTTGCTGCAGTTGCTCCTTGAAGTCAGTCTCCGCAAAGGTGATGGAGGCGGCGCAGGTAATGTTGGCAGCTTCCAATTGAGTGACCAGCTCGTTGACAGCCAACGAATATATCTCTTCATTTTGAGATAAAGCCGTCACCGTATCCCAGCCAAACTCCCTAGAGATAGAGTTATATATCAGCATTGTAATATATATTTGCATATTAAATAATATTATATATAAATCTATATAAACAAATAAAGCTGTACTGTCTGTTTGTAAAATTAAAATAACTGCTTTACAAAAATAATATTTTTTTATTTTTGTGTGTTTGTTTGTTCCGGCTAATATCTGAAACGATTTTGACAGGATTATGTTATAAGTGGTAACTTAAGCTTCTTTCCACGCAGACGAAGTCGTGGGCACAGCTAGTTATACATAATAGATTATTATTAATAGTTCGGGGGCCTGGTGATCTGTAATACGGGTCTAAAAACCTACACAGGCACCAGTCTCCCACAAGTGACCTAATTTCCTAAATTTACTGTTTGTGTGATTTATTATTTTTTATATTGTGTCATTTGTGATCAGAAATAAATTATTTTATTATTATTATCTTCTAAATATATATAACTCAAAAGTGACTGACTGACATGGTGATCTATCAACGCACAGCCCAAACCACTGGACAGATCGGGTTGAAATTTGGCATGCAGGCAGATGTTATAAGGTTGGCATCCGCTAAGAAAAGATTTTGATTAATTCTACCCCCAAGGGGATGAAAGATTGTATGAAACTTTGACAATTTTAAAATAATCGGGCTGAAACTTTGCATGCATAAAGCTACTATGACGTAATCATCCCCTAAGAAAAGTTTTTCATTAATTCTACCCTCAAGGGGATAAAATAGTAGATGAAAATTTGTATGAAACTTTGTCAATTTTAAACCGATCGGGCTGAGACTTTGCACGCTTAAAGCTGCTATGACCTATAAAGATAAAGGAAAGATCCTATAAGAAAGGATTTTGATAAATTCCACCCCCAAGGGGGTAAAATAGGGGATGAAACTTTATTTCAGGTATTTTACACGATATAATTAATAAATATTCGTTAGAAATGCTGCTCAAAGTAACTTTTCCGCGAGGACGAAGTCGCGGGCAAAAGCTAGTAAAAGTATTCCTACAACAGCAAAGCAACCTGTCGTTTTCTAAAAGTAAATTAATTTACCTTAAATATTTCGTAACCGATTTTCAACTTTGATTATCAACAATTTATATAAAAGTAGAAATATATTAACCCGTTAATATTTAAGTATTGTATCATGAATTGTTTTACTGTCGGGCAATACAATATTAATTGTTATAATGCTATCAAAAACTTGAAAAAAAAAATTCTGTATAGATGGTAAAAATATATGTAAATTGGTAACAATGAAACTTAAATCAAACACAAACTGCGATACGTAGTTCAAGAAGATATCTAGTGATTTCTGTAAGTAACGTACGAGTAATATCAAGTAATACTCTTAATCAGTTAAGTTGACATTTCACCTCGACTTTTATATAATTAGTTTTCGTGCCAACACAATATCCATTGGACATTTGATACTGTCACATATAATTGGTGGTTTCCCTAACACATGGCTTGGTATTCTCTGTGTCGAAACATAGGCATCCAATTAAGGCTCATCAGAGGATGGATCAGTGGCTTTGCCTTTCAAAGGTCGAACTGAATTATTATTACTAACTAAATCTACAAGCCCAGGTTCAATTGGTATCGAGTTTCACTGTACTACGGTCGTTTGTGTACAGTATTCAACGATATTCAAACCTTTATAGAGGCTTATTTTGAAGCACAGCGCCCTGGGCTTTTTGACTAATCGTTTGTCATCTTATAAATTAAAGAAAACTAAGCTTATTGTAAAAAAAAAATTGAAATTTATATTTTATTGGTTATGAGTGAAATGATATATATGTTGCCAGATCGCGAGTAATATTAATAACGATATAAAACCTAAGAAGAGCAGCAGCGTTGTTGAATGCAGTGCTGTTACGTCATAACATACTTTCCACAACCAGTTTGGCGAGATGAGCGCAATGGTTATTGCCAGAGCACGTTACATTCTTAATAAGATCTATAGAATGTGTTGGTGACCGTCCGCGAGATTTTTTACCCTATACCACTTATCGTTCTAAGGAGTTGATGTGCCCGAAGACTTTGAGGATTCGTAATCGCACTTCAAAAGGTAATTGTTAATTATTAAAGGTAATTACAAATACCTTTAATAATTGTAATAATGTTACAAATACCTTTAATAATTTTAATAATTGAAATAATTGTAATAATGTGGTAATTGTTAAAGGTAATTACAAAATACGTGATAGCGCTGCGTATGGCGAGTTCGAGGTTGACAGCTACTTATGCCAGTCATTTTGTCTTTTGTGCAAATAGCTGCTACGCAATCATGATGCATATTTATAGTATTATTGTGAGTACAATAATAAACCGCAACAAGAATCAGTGGCCAATTCTCTTGAGACATAAGAGATATCAGCCACTACACATTGTGGGTTCACATCAAAGAGTAGTATTCCCCACTGCCCTTAACCTTCGCTAGTTGGAATGGCACTAGAAGATGGCGCAGAAGAAGATGAATAGGGATGATGACTAATTTTTGTTTGTTTATCCGTCAGGTAGAGTGTTAAAAAATATTAAACAAGTATTTTTTTATTTTGTTCGTAATCATAAAATTACGGCGTTACATTGAGTTGAAATTTCGCATGACGTCACGTTAGAGTACGTTTTCTACTAAACTGTGACGTAGCGAGCCCCCACTCCTCAACTTTAATGCCTGTTTTCTATACTATTTCTTGTTAAATTGAAGTAATAAAAATACATATCTAATATTTTCCTATTATCTGACTGACGGACTAAATAGAATTGCATTTTTTTTACCCAGTCATCATCCCTATTCACGTATATGCTACAAATAGCTAACTAAGCTTATAAAATTTTGGCACACATGTCGATATCTATCTGTATTTCAATTTTCGTAAAGGATGTTTAAAATACTGGTGTGGCAATGCCATGCCGATCGGTGTTATTTAGAAATGCTTGAAATAAAATGATTTTCTTGCACGTTCTCAAGTGTTTGGCTTTAATTCGATAGACCAACATTTGATCAGTGCTTACCTGTTCTGATTGGAAGTTTGATCACGTAATATATTAATGATGTGTCAACTCGAGTTGAATTCTTCTCAAGTTAGTTAAATTACTCCCACCCACAGTAGTGCATAAAATGTCACAATATTCCAAGGAAATGGCTAAGGTTTCACTTGAGGTTATTTATTATGGAGTACCGGTTATCTATTAATTGTTGTTGTTATTAAGCACTGTTTCAAAATGCTGCGAATCAAAAGGTTTTTTTTGGGATATGAGCATGGTAAATGCAAACAAAGCACGTTAAAAAGAAGTACCCAATTGTAGTCGTCGTGGAAATTAATGATTTAACTACATTTCCATTTCCGATTTTTGTCGTCAGCGAATGGGAAGAATAATTCGGTTCTTTTGTTACAGTCGCAGCATTAAAGGTTAAAGTTTACTGTCATCGCAATACTACCCGAGGTTAAGCCTCCTCAAAAAAATGTTGAGGCAAAGATTATTACACACAATTTGGCCAGTAAAAACCAATAAAAATAAATCAATTACTCATTTTTATTTATTTAACTCGAGTTATGTGAATTTCGATTCAAATCGAGTTAACTCTAATCGTGTTTATTACAAGTTGGCACATCTCTATACTATATTGACAGTGAGATGCAATCCATCTAAGAAATCAATACTGATATTATAAATTTACCATTTCTGTAGCCGAGTGGGCATGTCTATATGAAAATATCTCTGATGGGTTCGAATTCCAGTCGAATCAGCATATGAAATTAACTTGATTGTCTCAGTGTGTATCTTGATTGATTCATATTTTTATAATACAAAGAGTTAAGCTACTTAAAAGTTGTTATATACTTGTCTCTTTATCTATTATACTTCCAGGGTCTCACTATTGTCATAAGTTTAGGTTAACGTTAGAAACTTATATAAAAAAAAAAATTGTTTGATAATGCTAGGTGGCGATATATATCCATGTCATTATTAATTTAAAAGGTTTACTCTTAATGAAAAATGCTTAAAAATGCATTTTGTCTTTGGCACTCTGAGATGGGACTCGAACCCATGACCTTTCGCAATCCGGGGTACCGCTCGAACCACCGAAACCTAACAGGCCTGACGAATTTTTCAAGCACTCGTTACTTTTCGCTACTACAAAGCTATTTTTGATTATATTGTGATTGTAAAATTGATCAAATCTTATAATTATAAAGGTTTGTTATGAAAGTAACGTTATGTACCTAATGAAGGCAATCCTGGCAGGATTGTGTGAGGAATCTGGTGCGACGGTACGGCAGAACAGTGGGAACTCGGAGCGGTCCGATAGAGCCGGTGACGTCGACCCAAAAGACACCTGCAACATAATATAAAGTATACAAATAGACTTTCAATTAAGTCGACAGCAGATTCGCTAGTTCCTTTTTTTCTTTGTTAACGCAGGAATTTTTTAATTAATTAAATTGTAAAATAAGTGAATGATAATCGTTAAGTAGGGTAATAGTATCATAAAATCTCGTACAGTACCAAAAAGTACTATAACAGCGTTGCGGTGACTTTTATATTACCAAATTCTGTGCACTTCAATACAAAATGGAGATATAATTGAACCATTTTCTTTTTTTGAGTTTTTGCTAAATGGTTATTATACATGTATGACGTAAACGAGACACGAATCCGTAACATTTTGCGATCAGAGTGACATCTCTATAAAATAGTTTTATTTTTGTTATTTGTAATGTAAGTCGGGCTACTGTACTACTGTAAAGGTGAAGTTTAAAATTATAGTTAATAATGAGATCGCTACCATAATTAATTGATTTAATATCGTTAACTATCTTCTTGATCAAAATGCGAATACTTTATATTTGTTCTGTCATTTCATTAGTTCCAGTTGCATATATTTAACACGATTATGACCAAGTTGAGTATAGAGACCTTCATAAGTGATCAAATATTAACACCGAATCCAGATCCAACGTTTTATTAGCGAGACGATATCGGATTTGCTCCTACGTTTTCAAGCTCTAGTTCGATTTGAGTTTGCAGATGTTCCGGGCTGCATGCATAACTTTCTAGCTTAAACTTGTGAAGTAAGAGTTGCACAGGGATATGTTACTTTACGTAGTCAATACTATAACTCGATAGGAGATAGTTAACTATCTCCTATTGACTTATATTTTGATGTCCACTATAGTTGAGTAGCTTACTGGATTAATACACGGCTGAGGTTTAATCCGAACCGTGAGAGAATAAGACAATTTCACCAACTTAGAATTAAAGTTACTACTTCGTTCAAACCATTGGTCGACTAAAGCAATATGACAATAAAATTAGAGAAAACGTGAAATTCAGACCTGTTGATTTACTTTAGTCAGATAATATACAATTGGCAAAAAAGTATATCGATTGAGTTTGCAAAATAAGGAATAATGTAACTTTAAAAGTGCCATCGCTTATGAAAATGAATGTTGATTAAATGAACAAGAAGCATAATAAAACCTTACTTAAACCTGTCGAAAGATAACAGATAGTAGGGGAAGATTGGCACCATTCGTACACTTTTTAGTCAATGATTTTTTAAATATTGATAATCAAAGATAAATGACTCAATTACTTATTAAAACATAAAGCATACTTTCTGTTCCTTATTTAAAAAGTTCAAAGCCGATATCTTGTATAATATATCAAAGGATTGAATTTTACTAAAAGCTTATGAATGTCCGAATCTACCCCTATTACGGGGTACAATCGTACATGGGCCGGGGAACATTCAGACAGTGTGGTAACTTCATATATATTAAGTAAAATAACAAATTAATTAAAAAATATCGTTTTCATTGATCTCAAACTTATCAACGATGTAATAAACTAAACGACATATGCCTATATGTCGTTTAGAGTCTATCTTTTTTTACCAAAACCGTGCATCCATTCTATATCAGCGAAGCCAGTTTCATAACAATTTTGTTAAACATTTATATTTCAAAACTTTATCATAATCATTTGATAGTGTTGTGACTTCCAATATCGTGATTCGGAAATGTGTTTTTGAACTTTTTCAATTGATTAGTCTTTTCAGTAAAACTATTTGTTTTTTATTATATAAAATCACCTTTTATATACACAAAAAACTCATTTAATGAATATTGGGAACGTGTCTGCCTTTTCTTCTTAAAATTCCGATTATTTTTTCTAAATTTTCTGATATAATAATAAAAATTGTTAGCACACAGGGGGTTAGGTACATACATACGCGTACGAATGTGCCCTTGCTGGAAATATACGAACGTGCCCCGAAGATCAAGAATAAAATTATTGTTTCTAACACAAAACCCACGTAGAAAAATACACATAATAGATATATTATTATTATCTTAATCGTATTCACTTACGATTAAGCAATAATCCAGTAAAATTTGACGTGTAATTAAAGCACGGAAGATCCAAAAACATTAACAAAGTATTTACTAAGAGCATGCCAAAACACTTTAAGTTCTCTAGTTTCGCTCGCAGAGGCTGCATGTGTGGCTAACTTCGTGGACAACTGGCAGTCGCCGGCGCCTATCCACTGACACAAAGTCGTAATAAATAGAGTTTTCTACAAGATGTAGTAGTGACTGTATGAAGGTTCCCCGTGTACGAATGGTGCCAAACTTCCCCTATTTTGTTTGACATTTCTGAATAACTTTCAAAGATTTTCGTCTAATGCTTTCGATAATTCCAATTAAAGTTAAATCAACAGCACAAATCGATCATAATCGCAATAGATTTTAAAATTAGATAATTAAGCCCCTGATTCTAAAGTAATTTCTCGTTTTATAATAAGACGATCTGTGTTATCTCGCTCTACTTTGGATGGTTGTAATACCTTTGATGTGTTAGTTTTTCACAAGATTTCTATTATACTTGAGATTTGAGCATTGTATATGATGTTCTGTAATATTTATATCGTAAATTTTATCATAGGTTGAGACCTAATATTTTTTTTATTTTATTTGGCAGGACTAATGCCTCCACTGTTTGCACGCAAAACAGGCACCAAGTGTCGAGTTGCAGAAAACACCCGTCGTCAAGAAGAAAAAGAAGAAGAGGCTCAATTTTTTTCCTTCGTGTTATGACTAATGAGTTTTATTAGAACTAAAAATATTTTATGTCTGTTACAAACCAAAATCATCATGCAAAATAAAAAAAAAAAACCGAACATTTCCAAATTATTTACTTCATTTTATTTCAATATAGACTGCGCTCTGTAATTTTCTCAGCGTGGAATTACATCGTAATTTGTTACCTGAAGCTACCCTTTTAACCCTTTAGTATAGCTACAGGCGTGATTGGAATGTGTCCAAATTACCACTGAAAATCTTCCGGATATTACTTCCGAAATTTAGTGTCCGGAAGATTTTGTAACAAAAAATAATTTGGGGCAATTTTGGGTTATATCCTTTGGTAGGTAAAACCACGGTAGTAGGTAAAACAGTCCATAGTTGAAGTGATAAATCTCTTTACTCAAATTGGTAACATTATAAGACTTTTGAATAACAATACCTACACTATACCCTACTTAATATTTTACCTGAACAATGTTCCAATAAGGTACGATCTTGGCTATGCTCTCGGTGACCTCTGAGCAGGCTGTTCCTAACAACATCACCATTCTGGAGTCACGCTCGGTGTATAGAGCGTGGAAGAAACGGTCCACGCCCACGCCAGGGTCACACTGTCGACAAAAATTATCTCGCAACTCAATGTGCTAATTGTGTAATTTTGAAATATTTAGAATCCCTTTCAGAGTTACAGTGATTTGTGGAATTATGTAACTTTTAAAGTGGAAAACGCTTTTGGTATGAATAATTATTTGAATGATCAAGAAACCTAATACAGTTAACATTCGAAGAGTTAAATTCTAACTGCAATTTTTCGATGGACGACTTTCGTTGGACAATTCTTAATAGCTTTAAAGTATTTATCGGTTTGCTTATACAATTTCAAATAACGTCCAATTAACGATGTCGTTAATAAATTATCTGTCAAACATCAAATTGAAAGGGATTGCAATAGATATTAAAATGAGATAATAAGGCCAAATGTATAATGGAAACAACCAAATTATTGACATCAGTGGCGGTGCAAAATTTTATGTGGATAAAGAATATTTTTTGAGGCGTAAAAGAAAAAAATTGGCTCTTAATTTAATAAAGGCGGTTCATTTTTTTTGATAAAACTTATTTTTATGAATGTACCTACCTAACGTAAGAAAATCATCAATGATCAAAGAAAATATTATACATTTAGGAATCTGTATCTAAAGCCATCGCCGTCCGTCCGTCTATTACCGGGCTGTATTTCATGAACTCAAATGATAGTTAGATAATTGAAATTTACGAAGGATGTTGCCGCTATAATAACAAATACTAAAAAATCTAATGAAATAATTATTTAAGGGGCTATTTTCGGTACGGACCCTTCGTGCGCGAGTACGACTCGCACTTGACCGGTTTTTAATTTGCCTTGCGCTTTATCATTTGTATACATTTTCAAACTTATTTTATCATGACTACCGCTCTTTTGATTAAAAAAAGGTGTCGACAATACATATCGATATTAAGTATATCAAATAAGCAAATTGGTCAATCATAGGCTTTGATTATACCTTGGTATCATTGGTGATCAGCTGTAGTTTGTAGCCTGGCAGCACAGCTCGCTGGTTAACATGGCTAACGGCTAGTCTAGCAGCAGCCAGCTCTGAAGCACCATCTGCTCTCGGGTTGTCACCCACTGATAGTTCGAATAACCCCAAGATTGATACTATGCGGTTACTCGTGGATTTGGGTAGATCTGTAAAAAATGTTTTTATTAGTTTTATAATCGTTCGCTTCGTTTCTTTTCTTTAAAAAAAAATAACTAAAATAAAGGTCACTAGATGGAGGTAGTATTTACGACATATTTTTGTTGAATTTTCGACAAGATAGGATGATGTCAAATAGAACACATGACCACAAATGAATTTGCGATCTTTTACAAGTAAAATATTAAGAAAGAAATAGATTGACTAACAAAAGGTGCAAATTAATTTTCAAAACTATATTTCAAAGTTGTTTTTCAAACTTTTTCAATATACGACTATTTCCAGCCTGAATAATTCTGGGGACCCCCTTGGGTCATAGAAAAAGAAAATTAAGAGAATAATATAGTACCAATTATTTACTAATAACATTTTAAAATAGCAACACGATTTGATATTTTCTTGACAAAATAAATCTATCTTTTCCACCAAAAAATGTTTTGCTTTAGTGAACCATATAGAACCTTCACTTTATACTTATGACGGCGACTCCCTGAGTAAAGCTCCACGAATCCTCTAGGGGTCGCAACCCACAGATTGAAAAACACTGTTTTAGAGCGTTTAAAAAATTCAAGCTCTAAGAAGGTTCACGTTAGCCACTTGTCCGAACTCGTCAAAAAACTAGTTTTAGTCTACGTGTGTTATAGAAAATAAAAAACACCTTTTCTATATAACATTTCATTCTCATTTATCTATCGTTTTTAATAATCAATCAATCTACGAAACCAGTATACAATTTGAAACGGAGCAAAGCCGGGACGGCTTGCTAGCCTTAAATATATAAAATCAAAATATTAAGTCTTCTTTCTACCTCAGTATATTTAAAGATATCCTTTCAATTCTTATTCGAAGGGATCAAAGGGTTCTTTGGAAATTAAAAACCCAGCCTTTTGAATGTTTACCCATTCCAGAATACCACACGGTCGCTGCTGAGATTAGTGATGTATTATAAGCGTTCTTACTATTACCTAATGTGTATTTAATGATGTTTGTCATAATAATTGGTAGAAAAGTACAATTACTTTTTGTAATAATCGTTATAAGAAAATTAAACAATGATATAATGATGCATAAATCCTTTTTTACACCAACCCAAGGGAAAATAAAGGTTATTTAAATAAATAGCAAGATCTCTTTTAAATTATAAATGTGATTTATATAAAAATAAAACATCCTGACCTATAATATTTCTTCTTGTGAAATTTCCGTTTGCAAATAGTTATTAGTAGTTTATAAGTATCTGTTAACTTTTTTCTGGTATCCAAATTTTGTAGGGTCAGTCAGTTTTAGGGCGTAAGGCCTAGAGGGACTCGCGCATCATAAGCCTAATTAGGTTAGAAAAGTGGGAAAATGAAAAACGCACGTCGTTAGATTTTTTTATGCTACTATTATCAAGAAGTAATCTTTCTAACTTTGTTTGCTTGAAGGAGGTAATATTCGGAAATACTGATCCGATCATAAGAATCCTTTACATAAGGGAAGCTACATCATACGCGGGTGACATAGGTTATATATAAGTTACTGAGGCGAAGTCGCAGAAGACGGCTAGTTACTAATAAGACACAAAATTAGGGATTTTTAAAATAAAATATATGATTAACAATAAGTGCTCAGAAAATGACGATTGTTTTTATGCAAAAGAAAACATAAAAGCCTTCTCTTGGTGAGTCTTGTAAAAATACGCTCCCTGTACACTTTTTAAGGTTTTGTGACAATAATGGCTATCTTGACTACCTCAGGAGCCGAGTGGTTCGCATGCTGGTTTCAATAATAATAATAAATCTCTGAGCGGTTCGATTCTCAGTCGGATCAATGTAGAAAATGAACTTTTCACGGACTCAAGCACACATACATTACGGTGTTGTTTAATATTAAATTGAATATCTCTCGCAATCAGAGCTACTACTCGATGGTTATTAAACTTCTTACATATTTTTCAAGCACTTGTTACGCGTAGTGGCAATCCACCCAAACAGCCGAAATAATTCTATACAAATATTTTAAACTCTCATTTAAGATGAAAAAAGGACGCGTATTAGATTTAAAGACACCATGTTTTATTTATTTAAACTTTTTTTATTAATTTCAAGCTCTATGGCGCAGCGGCTAGTACGATCAGTCTGCGATACAGTTGTTAGGCTACCTCCGCACTAGGTGGTCACAGGATGGGTGACCAGAAAATATTATAAAATTCAAAGTTTTCAAGTCGAGTACAGCTATCTTCGTGAGACAGTTTGATCATCAATCCTACAGCATTAAACCATTATGCCTAATGGATGTGTCCGTACATATTTCACGCTAGGTGTTTTTTAAATATAGGTGATTTATAACATTAAAAAGGCAATGAAAGTGTGCCTGCATATCACTTATTGAAATTTGATTATTGAAAAAGAAAGACTCACTAGATTATAGGTGCAGCAGGTTGGTATCGTCGGAATAGGGGTGTAGACAACTTCTTTTTATATTTCTATTTTATAGATTTACATGAAATATATATAGACCTATATATACTATAAAAAGTATTATTCATAAAATAAGTTAAAATCTAAAAATAATTTTAATTTTCAAAATTTGCCGCGAAAACACCGACTTCTGACATGGCGTCGCTATGACGTCATGCTCCTGACGCCCCTCAAAACTAACATCGTTCTATGTATGTATAAGGTTTAATTCCCTGAGAACTTGGAGATATGAATAAGTAGGCTTGACGTCACGCGCTGTTAAGTTCACGTGAAAAAGAGAACCTTTATAATATATGTATTTTCATAATAAATTTAAGTAACATTATAAATATAATAAGCATAAAAGTGTAATTATCGGTAGTAGTATATTAAATACAACCAATAAAATATAATAGTATATATAAGCTACGGTCGTAAAGTTGTACCTGAGGGCCTACTGTATAATTCGGAAAGGAAATTTTCTGTTATTTAGAAACGGTAATACGATTCCTAAGAAGCTATTTTTAGATTGGTTGCTTATTTACCTTACTTCTTTGATCCTTAATTGCGAAACCCTTGTGTTACATTATGGAGTGATGGGGCGCAATAAAAGTATTGAATTATCGAATAAAGCCAACGATTTATGATGATATGATGACATCATATTATGATGAAAGCCAACGATTTCATGTCATAGAAATGTTGATTCTATGATACTATGATGTCGCGTTTCATCTAGCTTTTCGTGATTACACTTCAGTGGTTTAAAATTTTAGAAAAATAGAATAGGGCTTGGTAATTCCTCTAATGCATAGATAATCTGATCAGATATGATTTTAATATAATAATTATTAATAACATAGCTAGGAGACTAATTAAACAGCTAATATTTTGTATACAAATATTTCATTAGGCTTTGAACTAATTGCTTGTGGACTACGTATGATTAAATTTCGATATGGTGTTAAGGATGACTAGATTATTGTAATAACAGATTGCTCTTTATTTGATATTGGATGAAACACGGTATCGTGTAGACAAAATTGATTTAAAACAGATGTAGAGTAGTGATTAGTTTACAGGTTTCAATAGCACTATTAACAGAACCCGTGGAAAGTTTTGTCTATAACACTCATGTATATTGTAACTTCCCGTAGGTGACAGAATGTTATACTTAGAATTTAGATCGTATTATCCAGCCAAGCATAAGTTGTTTAAAGTTGCCACGTATTCTTGGAAGAGTAGAATAACAATTCAAATCAGAGAAACATACAAGAAATACCCAAATTAATCGATTTCAACATCATACATTTATTATTAGAAGCAAAAGGAGTGTATACTTTCTGTTTAAATCTCTAGAAAATAGAGAATAACAAAAGCAATAAAATGAGGAAGTATTTAAAAAAAGAAGGCACTAAAAAAGCACCTCCACTAGATGGCGACTCTGCCAAAAGTTGATTTTTGCAGGAAACGAATGGACCAAAGATGGTCATTTCCGTTCTTTTTAACTAACATATTGAAAAATTGAAATTTGCAAAGTTCGAAACTTAGATATCAATACAAATACGAAAAAGTACAAATAGAGTATGAGTTGTTTATAGAGTTTTGAAAATTAATTTACTTTTATACATGAAAGAAAACCGGAAGGGCTCTCATGGAGAAATCAAGAAAGTATCGCAAGGTTATCTAGTTTGATTTCGAGAACTAATGATTTTTTTAAATACTGCCTCATTCATACTGATAAAAATAAGTAACGAGAGGAGGAGTTGGTTGAGTTTGCTCGGTACGCTTAAACTGCTCGCTATACCGATTTATCTACTGCTACTGATATATAATTATAAGAAACCGATTAAAGTCAACAATTAAAATACTAAAAATCAATATATTAAATTTATGGATACGTTCTCTCTTTCTCTCTTTAAAAAAAATGTTATGCCTTATACGGTCTACAGTGGATTCATGCAATAAACGCATTAAGGCTTTTTACAGTAAACAGCACGTCAGACTATATAAATCTGTCAAGTTTTTCACTCGATTTTAAACGTTATTATGTTTTGAGGGTAGCGTTTAAAACCAACTGAATAAATTTGACATATTGTTGTAACCTGTGTTCCTCTGCTTAAGTTTCCATATACTAGAATTGACCAGAATAAAATTGGTTTAAAGTACTATGTAAGTAAGTAGTGATAATTTCATTCAATCTTGACTTAAACGATTGAGTATTGACCAAAGATAATTTAAACACTACGTTTTTGTAATAAAGACGACACATCCATTTTGTTTTTGATAGTTTTCATATTGTCATAGCGAAATGTACATAACATATTTCCTCAACAAAAACAGTACTAATTACAATTACACCGAGAAAAATAAAACAAAAGAAAAACCGTCTTTTGTTACAATTAACACAATTTTATGATGTCGATTGTAAAGCCAGCGGTCAAAGGTTTTATTTTTGAGTAAAAAGAATATTACATTTAAAAAGATATCGTCTTTCTCAAAGGCTGCTTTAAT